GAAATAAGGATGACATTGGAATGACAGAGGATGATCTAATCAACTTTCATCATATCATAAAAGTTCTAACTCTCATAAGTGAATTAATGTCATGAATGAAAAGTATAAGTTCTATATAAGATAATAAAGTTTAAGAACTTGTCTCATTACCTGAAGGTGCAAAACCAATTGGTTGCTAATGGATATTTAAAATCAAAATGGATGCAAATGGTGATGTTGATAGGTATAAGGCATGTCTTGTATTTAAAGGATATACTCATAAAGAATGAATAAATTTTGTAGAGACTTTCTCCTTGGTTTCATTGAAAGACTATTTCAGGATAATTATGATACTTGCTGCTAATATTTAATCTTGAATTACATAAGTTGGATTTCAAAATGGTAACATTGATGAGATGTTTTATAAGGTACAATTAGAAAATAGTTTTTGATGATACAAAATTATTGATATATAAATTAGGGAAATTCATTTATGAGTTTAAGTATGACTCTCGTTAATTGTATAAAAAATTTCACCAAATGAATATCATGTTTGGTTTTGAGATGAATTTGGTTGAAAATTGTACATACTATAAGTTTAGTGAGAGTAACCAAAATAATATCTCTTATTTCTATAAGAAACAAGTTCAGTCTTGATCAATGCCTTAGGGATGATTTTGAAACTAAGGAAATTCAAAAAGATTCCTTATTATTCAAAACAAATAAAAAATTTAATGTATACCCAAGTTTATGTGCATTCAGACATAGCGTATAATTTTAGGATATTAAGCAGGTATTTAAGCAATTCGGGTATGTACTATTGGATAGCAACCAAATTGATTCATACAATACCTTTAAGAACAAAAATGTTACATGGTCACATATCGAAGGTCTAGTAAGTAAAAGATCTTCAAGTTAATGGACTCCAATTTCTTGGAATATAGATGCAAAAATTTATCACATGAACTGCTAATTATGGATTTATAAGAAATATCACTTGAGTTATTTTGTGACTACTAAATTGCAGTCCTTTATTCCATATACAACAGAAACACCTTAGAGTCTAAGCACATAGACATTATGTTTCTAGGTGTTAAAGAAAAAAATCAGAGTGGTTAGGTGTTTATAGAGCATATCGGTACAAACTCATTATTGCGCACTTACTAAGGAACTATTACCCTAGGTCTTTCATGAGCATACTACTCATGTGAGTATAATATCATTTAAGGATATTTGTATACGTGACCATTGATGGATCTAGTCATGATTGATATGGAAAATGTCATTTTGATCCTATATGGATATAGTTGATGTACGAGATTGTTATAGAATACCTATTGCATGATAACAAGTTTTGAGATAGGGTTATACATTTATCAGAAAACATATTTTTCCCAAGTGGGAGATTGTTTGATTAAAATTCATAATTATGGGCACATATTTATAATGTATATCGTTATCATAAATATGAATAAATTAAGTAACCAATTATGTTATAAATTCATAAGGTAATAGAAGTTTCATGGAAATGAAAGTGTAGGTACTATTAAAGTTGTATTTATAATTTGATGAGGTGCAGAGTTATAAGTATAGACAATAACTGATTATTAAATCAACTATATAAAGGAGTTATGGTCCTCAAGAAATAGATAGTCTCGTATTTACTCTTATCACCGTCAAAGAATTTATACTTAAAGAACTCTATCTTCTTGGAAGATCACAACCAAACAATGATTCAAGGAATTTAACCCATCAATTAATTCAAGTACACTTCCGAATCTAGTATTTCTTATTCTTGATAATTTGATATGATTAGATCCTGATTGTTTTCATATTTATTATGATTTGGTTCTAACATATCATAAAAGTAGACTTATTGAAAATAAAAAAAAAACAAAAGAACATAAAAGGATAATTAAAATACCAATAAATGACAACTAATATTAAAGTTGGTTTTATGATCAACATATATGGAAAGGAAAAAGGATGAAGCGCGTATCAACGAGACAAAACTAGGAAATAAATACTTAAAAGCAAACGAAGACACACTGCTTTAGCAGTCTCGTATAATTAATTGTATAGGCGGCTACTGTTTTAGCTCATCATCTGCTAATAAAGACAGTTTGATCATAAAATTAATAGTAAATTAATATAGGTATTAGAGCTAACACTAAAACTTTTTCTTAATGTTTCTTTTTTTTTTTTCTGTATTTTCTTCCAGATTACCCGCCAACCAAATCAAATACTCATTAATTCAATACCATCAATTCCCCCTGTTTATTTACCATGCATATGTAAATATTTTTAACTTTGGGCTTTAAATTAACCTATGCAAGTTTTATATGTGGGGATTAAAATATGAAAACTTAATGATTATTCAGTTACATTTTCCTTCTACAAATGTCTTTGTATGCATATATTTATGTGCTACGATTACTATATGAAAACAAATTATTAGTTAATTTAGCATGAAATCACACTACAACAAAACTGTTATACAGCGGCGTTTTAAAAATAAACGCCACTAACTTTAAACATATAGTGGCGGCGTTTACATTTCAAACGGAATAAAATGGTAACTTTAGCGACGTTTTTCAATAAACGCCGCAACAAAGTAGTACTTTAGTGGCGTTTTTATACAAATGTCATAATAAGGTTTATCTATAGTGTCATTTTTTCAACAAACGTCGTAATAGAGTCGTACTTTAACGGAATTTTTATAAAAATACCACAATAAAATTCATCTATAGTGATGGTTTTTCAACAAATACTGCAACAGAGTAATACTTTAGCAAACGCCGCAATAAGGTATTCTATAGTGACTCAACAAACACAATAACAGAATACTACTTTAGCGGGCTTTGTATATTGTGAAATATTTAGTGGCGTTTTATAAACGTACGCTGCAAATTTTCCGACAATTGGTTAGTAAACAACAACTCTTTGTTCTTTAAAACCTAACCCGTCCATTCTGCGCTTTCTACCCTTCATTTCCTCTTTTTGCTCGCTTCCTTCTCTGCGTTTACCTCGCTTCAATTCTTCGCTTCCCTCGGCCGTTTCCACAAGCCTTCCTTCTCATTCCCCTCTCAACATTGCTCTTTGTTCGACTTCCATGGCCGGCAGTGATTTCGACTCGTCCCTAACCTCTCCTTCCTTGGAGAAGCAGTTTGAGAAGTTCTAAGTCCAACTAAGAGATTCTGGCGGTGATTCTGACTCATCTACTCGTCTCATGCAAGCTACCCTTCTCCTCGGTCTCCAATCTAAACCAATTCATTGTAACATTTTTCTTGATGTTGAAATTCTTAGGGAATACGAGGTATTACAATTTTCGTTTTTATCGATTATTTCGAAACCCATTCTTTTCACCCCTACGGTTTTAGAATTTGGGTGAATTTTTTAGCTAGAGTTGTTGAATAAATTTATTATATGTTTACAGGTTCATCAATTGATGGTTTTACTAATTTCGTGGAGGTTGTTATAATCCCATACTCTTAGGTTTTTTTTCTTTTCTTAAAATAACATCATATCCATTAAACTGGAGAAGCATGTGTAATAGCATCAAATTCTTAGTTTTAAATATGTTCTATTAACTTTCTGTTGTTTTTTTGTGAATTCCTAGTATTTCATTTTTTTACTATTGGAACTTTTTAGTAAGCTGTGGAAGAGTACCTTTTAAATCATGGTTTTAGATAAGAGACCCCAAGAGAAAAAGAGAAGTTAACCATAAAATTGAAGTAATACAAAAGTAGGGCAACACTTAGAATTTAGACTTAGGTTTTTTGTATGCTGGATTGTTTTTCTCATTGTGTGTCTACATAATAGATTATGAGTTGGAATATTTGGAGTCTATCCATTTATTTGTTGAGATATTGGACCACTTTTTTCAGCAATGTTTGCGAGCTCGACTTGGTTTTTAATTTCCACAAGGTATGTTATCGTCAACTTTTGCATGAACATCACTTGCTGGACTCAGTTTTTCTATCTGATTCACATGAAACTGCGAGTTACAGTAACCAAAAAGTCCACCCCTTTTTTGTTTTGCTTTATTTCAATTGAATTCGTTAGTTTGTGATCTCAATCTTTAGTTTTTGATCTCAAGTCTCAACTCTTTGTTTATCTAACTTGTCAAAGCTAGTTCTGTATTGTTTGGCATTGATTAGTTCAATTTTCTTTTGGAACAATCCATGTGCTAACTCGATATGAATTTGATTATACGTTCCTCTCTTTGGTTTAAATGTGTGTATAGCGGTTGATTGTCATATTCCTCTGAATTCACTTCACTATTTTCATTTGAAATTCATCAAGGTTTATTTGATACTCGATGAATTCATTCTTGCTGGAGAGCTTCAAGAAACAAGCAAAAAGGTTTGCTTCCCCCTCCTCCCCATTTCTAGACCTTTTACATATTATTTCATGTTTGATGGATTTTATTGACATTGCAACTTTTCTTCTCTCACCAGTATCTTTGTTACCTTTGGAATTGTTAGTTAGCAATGACACTGTGGTTGTCTTTCTTCTTTTGGTATAAAATATTATCTCATATTATTGGTGGTTTTTGCATGTCATTACCAAAATGGTCTTTTACCAACAGCTTGAATATATTGATAATTTCTTGTTATATAGAGGCAATGCAAATATTTGATGGCTTGGAAACCGGCACTAAGGTTAGTCATTTGCAAATTGCAGGCTATAATAGAGAGAATGGGGGAACTGGATAAGCTTGATTAAAGATGACTCTGCATGAAAGAAAAATGATGCTATTTGTGTCAAATACTTCTCTTATTTTTTATTGTTTGTTTTACACAGCTAAATCTTTATTGTGTTATTTTTTTTATAGGAATAATAGTTCTCATTAAAAACCTCCCTCTCAGTTAACTCTAGAAAAGAGTAACCAGCGGAAGGAGAAAAAGAGTGCCTTGATTTATTGAATATAGAACTATTACAAAACAGTACACCAATACAAAGAGGGTATCCTAATAAAACTGAAATCCATAAAGCACCCTAGAGAAATACCCTTACAATTACCCGATCCCATCCTTAGCTAATTTATCTGCTTCCCAATTACAACCCCTAGGAATCCATCGAATAATAACCACCCTCTCTTGAACTAAGGACACAATATCCAAAACAATGGAATTGAAAAAACTAGGAATAGAATTAGGCAGTAATATCCAGTCAAATACAGATTTGCAGTCACTTTCAAGGATCAGTCTTCCCTTTGTAGCCCAATCTGATGATAGAAAAATGTCTAGACCTTTCTTAACAGCTTTCAGCTCAGCCAACGGAGGAGGTCCTGGACCGATACTAACAGAAAAAGTCGATAAAATGATACAATTACAATCTCTCAAAATACCTCCAATTCGTCCAGCCAACCCATCAGACTTGACAGCCCCATCGACATTAAATTTATAAAAATCAGTTGGTGGAGGATGCCAACTTTGTATCAAACTTCTGTGAGTTTTCTGAATAACAATGATGTATGCAAGAGAGGGGTCCCCTACCACCAAATCCATTTGAATATGGGGAAACTTAGCTAAAAACCATTGAGCTAACTAAATCTTATTAGGAAGAAGAGAGAGGTCATATCAAGGCTAGAATTATCAAACAAAATTGAATTCTTTGCTATCCAAATAGACCAAAGAACTACTCCCGGGATAAATTTCCAAAGGTCCCCTGCAACTGAACAAGAGAGGAAAAGATGTTGGACTGTTTCTTTATTCAATTTACAAAGTGGACATAGAACGTCTTCCATAGGAACTCCCCTTTACTTCAGCTCCATTTTCACTGCCAATTTCTTGTGAGTGATCTGCCAAAGGAAGGTTTCTACTCTAGGAAGAGCCAAACCTGACCACACCCACCTTTTCCACGAAAAACTCTCTTCTTGACTATTTGATAAAGCCAACTTGCAGGATTTCACTGAAAACAGACCGTCCCCCTTCCTATACCAAGAAAGAAAATCCTCTATTGAATAAGATAAATTAAAACTGTTTATTGTTGCCATTAGATTTACCCATTGGATAAATTCCCAATCACATAAGTTTCTTCTAGTTTGAACATTCCACACCCATCCATTTGCATCAAAGTTACCAATCTCAGCCACCGTACCCCTTTTGTTGTTTGATAAAGCAAAAATCCTTGGAAATTGCATCTTCAAGGGTAAGTCATTGACCCAAACATCATTCCAAAACGAAATAGAATTGCCATTCCCCAATTGATTCCTAGAATACGACCTCAAACATCCTCCAGTGTCATCATTTTTCAAATAATTATTCATATTTCCTTTCCAATTCCACGAGTCTTGAGGCGAGACAACTTTAGAAATTGACAGGGATAAAGTACTAGCATTGTATTTGCTACATATCATCCTTTTCCAAAGTGACTCTTTCTCATTTGCAAATTTCCACACCCATTTACCCAACAAAGCCCTATTTGCGATGTTCAAATTCATAATTCCCAAGCCACCAGCCTCCAAAGGTTTACAAACACCTTGCCAGCTAACCCAATGCATACGATTCTTGTTTGAATTCCCCCCCCCCAAAGAAAGTTAGCCATCAATGAATTAACTTTCCTCTTTACTTTGAGCGGCATTTTAAAAATAGATAAGAAAAAAATCGGTAACGAAGTTAATACCGATTTAATAAGCACCAATTTTCCCGCCATTGACAGTGAATTAGCCTTCCAACCAGTTAACTTACTGTTAAAATTCTGTGTAACCGGCTCCCAAAGTACTTCAGAATTTCTCTTTGCACCTATAGGTAAGCCAAGATATTCCATGGGAAAACAACCCACTGAGCAACCAATATCATTCGCCCATTCATTTAAGGTAGCCGCTTCAACATTTATGCCAAACAATTTACTCTTAGAAAGGTTTAAGTGCAACCCTGTCATTAAACTGAAAATCCTCAGCACTCTTTTGATATTCCAGATATTAGACAGAAAGTCACGGTAGAACAAAACTAGATCATCCGCAAACTGAAGGTGAGTTAAATGGAATGGATTAACTGATCTACCAATCTCAAACCCCTGAAAAAGTCCCAAATCAGCAGCTTTAATCAACATTTGATTTAGGAGTTCGCCAATTAAATTAAACAATAAAAGGGAAAGACCGCAACCTTGTCTTAACCCTTTTGCCACTGGGAACTCCTCAGTAGGAGAACCATTAATTAGAACTGAAATTGATGCAGAAGAAAGACAATATTCGATCCAAGAAATCCATTTCTCCCCAAAACCCATAGCATTCATTAATTTTAGCAGAATCATAAGCCCTTCGAAAATCAACTTTAAAGACTACCCCTTTTCTCTCTTGCTTCCTCCAATAATCTATACCTTCATTAGCTACGAATGCACAATCTAGCAGTTGCCTACCCGGAATAAATGCGAACTGATAAGGGCTAACTAGGTCTTTAATACAAGACACCAACCTTTTGGATAGAACTTTAGAAATAATCTTGTATAAACTGCCCACAAGGCTAATTGGCCTATAGTCTTCTAAACTTTTTGGATTAAGTTTCTTAGGTATTAGGGAGATGAATGCATGATTAACCCCGTGATCCCATTTTCTGCCCTATAAAAGTCACAGACGAACTTCATGATCTGCTCCTTGAACATAGGCCAATACTTCTTGAAAAAACCCATAGTAAATCCGTCTGGTCCAGGTGCTTTATCACTAGCTGATGAAGAGATTGCTACCCAAACTTCCTTTTCTGAAAAAATTTCCTCAAGACTATCTCTTTGCTCAGTAGATAGCATTGCAAAAATCAGATCAAAACCCCCCACTTCCAGTGTAGTAATCGTACTATAAAATCTTTTGAAAAAATCCGAGACATGAGACTTAATGTGAGCTGTGTCTGTCAATTCCACACCCTCCACCTTCAAGGAGTTAATTTCATTAATTCTGTTTCTGTTCAAGGCACTTAAATGGAAGAACCTTGTGTTCCTATCTCCCTCTTTGACCCACTTCACTCTAGACTTTTGGCACCAAATGCTCTCCTCTATTCTATGCAGTCTCCATAACTCATTTCTGAAAAACATTAGTTGGTCCCTATCTTGCTGAGAAAAGGCAGCTCCTTGTGACTTCAATTCTAATTCATTTATTTTGGAATCAAAATCTGAAATAGCCTCTGAGATCCCCATATGTTTATTGCTGGACCAACTTCTTATCTTCTTTTTAGTACCTTTTAATATGTTAAAAATTACACTACCTCCATTCTTCTTCGACAAATCAGCCAAGGAATTTTCAACCAGATTACCAAAACCTTCTTCCTTTAATAGAGATAGTTAAAAAATCTAAAAGGTTTGGGGCCCCAGTTCTGCCCATCTTCTTCCAGCACAATTGGATTATGATCAGAGAGAGATTTGGGTAAAATTCCTTGTATCAATTTAGGGAACCCGTGGAAAATTGCTACTAACCAGAAAACGATCCAACCTTACCCACGTAGGAAACTCTCTATTGTTGCACCAAGTGTACATACCCCCTGATAAAGGGAGGTCAATGAGGTTTGTTTGTTGAAGAAAGGATCTGAGCAGATCTAGAGCATGCCAATTATGCGCAAATCCATATTTTTCTGATGGATCGAGATAAGCATTCAAATCTTCCCCTATGCAAACTGGGAGGTTTAAGTTTGTAACAAAACTCAACAACTCCCTAAAGAACTCCTTTTCTTCCTCAACAGACGGGCCATAATTCAAAACCTTAAATACAGAGCTTCCATGGATAATTTTTTTTTTCATTATATTTGGTGTTCTTAGATTTCATGGAGATTGTAGGTGTGAAACTCAAATGGTAGTTTCTTTGCTTGCCTTTATACGCTAGTTGCCGAGTCCATTTATAGTTTTGCAACCGATGCTTATATGAATCTCTGTTTAAGGACCTTTTTTGTTCCCCTGTTTTTCTTTCGTGAAACCTGCTCATGTATTTGTTCCAGTTGCAGTGGAATTGCTGTATCGATGGTAACGAAATATAAGGACAATATTGTCAAGGTAAGACATGATATGAAATTTCATATTTATTTAATCATTTATTTGTCTGAATTTACATCCATCTCTCTGATTTGTTAGGATCATGTAAATTTGAAGTATGTATGTAAATTTGTATGGTTGATGTGTTCATAGTCTTACATTAGGAATATAGCCAAGAAAGAGATATTTCTTGAATATTTACTTGCTAACTCCCCGGAGCATTTTGAAATTTGTTATGTGATCATCCCGTTATCTTTCTTAACGTTGAATCGGATTGCATGATAATGTCTTATTAGCCAAAAGTAGTAAAAGTATACTTTAGTAGTTAGCATGTCATATGCGATTGAAGCTGATTGTGTTTAGTTCTTTGGTTCTGCAATGGAGCTGGCCTTGTCCCTGGAGAAACTAACAAATGAAAAGTTAATTGTGTTTATTTCTGCCTGTTGAATATGTTGATCTGGAAATGTTTCTGTAATTATGCAGGTATTTATTTCATGTCAAATGAAATAGTAAGAATTATGTTAGGGATTTATTCATAGACTATTTTCTTGCAGCCTCAGAATTATGTCAGGAATTGTTGTATCGAAGATAATTATGTTGTTCGCTGTTGTTGATGTTCACTACTTGTTTAGGTGGTTGCTCTTGTATGCCAAAACTTCAGTTGCAGTTACCCGATAAGCAACCCTAAATCCTTACAAGATCTGCTCTACGAAAAGTCTTCATCGCGGTTGGATGAATTAGCTAAGACTCAAAATCTGCCCATCTTTTTATTATACCTTTATTTCTTAGTAGTGTATGAAAAAAATCACATGTAATCCCTTATACAGTGAACCAATAATTGTAACATATACAATAGTTTCATAGAATACTTATTTTGTAATAATAATATTTCTTTTTAAATAAAGTATGATGTATAATGATATTTATTGCATTTAAAATGTTTTTTCCAACTAAATTTACTTCAATTTGGTACGAAGAACAAAACATGATATTTGGAAAATTATGCTCTTTTGCGGCATTTGTATAAACAAACGCCACTACACCACTACAATTCACGTTTTTTCGTGACGTTTCTAAATGAAAACGCCACTGATGACATACACTTGCGGAGTTTATGAAGAAAAATGCCACTATATACACAATTAATAGCGGTGTTTGTGGTAAAAAAACGCCACTAAATATCACAACATATAGTAGGTTTGGAAATAAACGTCGCAAATATCACAGTTATTAGCGGTGTTTATGGAGCCAAACACTGCTATATGTTGTGATATATAGTGGCGTTTTATGTTCACAAACGCCGCTAACTATTGCGGCGCTCTATTTAGTGCCACTTCTTGTGGCGCTTTTGTTAGCGCTGAGACGGTTTTTAGCGGTGCTTAAAAACGCTGCTATTGAACTAAAAACACCGTTAAAAACTATTTTGTTGTAGTGGCAAGAAAACAAATGGGGTGATTTTTATGTTCTTTCATGAGTATTTTATTTGGTTAATATTTTGTTATTAATTAGTTTATGTTATCTTTTTTATAGTGTTTTATTTAAGGTTATTTACGTTAGATTCTTTACAGGACTTTACTTTCTATAAATCAACAATTAAAGAACAAAATAAAGTAGATGTATCCTAATTCTGAGAGTATTCGGAGCCAACTCAAATTGAAAGACCAAGTTAGGCGCCAACTCTAATAAAATAATCCAATCAACAAGATCAAAGAAGAAAAACAAGTCGAACTAAAATTCTTTAGGAATTCAAAGTTGTAATAAATTCAAACATTTTGGGTTTTATTATTTTATTTAGTATTATTTATTATTAGAACTTTTAGTTTATTATTAATTAGGAATTAAGTGTTTTAATTTTCTTGACAGTTAGTATTTTATTCTCATTAGGATTATCTCAAAACTATAAATACTCTGTAGGGGTGAGGCTTGAGAGATGTACACGTTCAGAATTTAGTATAGAACTGATTTTGGTTTTTAAGTTTTTAGTTCAATAAAATTATTTTCTTTTTCATCTTTTATCTCTTCCACACACCAAGTATGATAAATTTCATATTTGGCTAAACTTTTTCTTAATCGATAACTGAGTTACGATTCAATTCGGTCTCGTGAGAATTTCAAAAGCGTTTCATATCTTTAGATTCTTTCTTGATTTTCAATAGACAATGAGAGACAATTGGCATTTTCTTTAAACATCTCAATATCTTCAATCCAAAGAGTGCACATTGGCTTGATCGACGTTGTGATCTACAGTTGGGGAGGAGAGTCGGCTTGTAACAAATTCAATTTCGTAAGAACAAAATTAGTGGTGGTCCGCTAAGGGAAATCAAGATCGGATTCGATACTCATCGAGACACTATAATCCGAGCACGAGCTTTTCTAGCACTAAAGAAAGAATTGGCGTTAATATTGGTAGTCGTTGTTAATCCAAACAATGATTAAATTTCAAAAATTGTCTTTGGAAATTAGTTCACTTGAGAGAAGAGTAAGTTACAAAGGTTGTCTTGTAGACTGTAATCGGCAAGTACCCGAAGTAAAATTTATTTCAGTGATTGAGACGAATTGAAGCAAAGCGAAGCTGAATGCTATCGCTCATCATAATTAATTTTTTCTACAATTTATTTTTCTTGCTTTATTTTATTTTATTCAATTTACTTAATTGATGTAATTTTTTTTTTACTTTTATTGTTTTCAGTTCTTCCTGATTAAGATCAAATCAATTCGAAATTAGAAATTTATGAATCCCTGTGAACATATACCTTCTTCGGTATTATGTGTTTAAAGTTTACTTTTATGAAGAAAGAAAAAGACTTTTTTATTTGACAATTACGAGACTTGTGAGTCTTGGTTTAGAATTTTTTTTCTTTATATTATTCTCCTTGGAAGGGCTTTATTACTTAAATATAACATTTTCAAAATTATTTATAAAATTAACGTCCTCTCAACATTGTTTAAGAAAAACCTCAATTTAATCATGTCACAAAGGATAATAGTATGTCCTTTTAACGTCTTCTAAAGGAGATGTTTGACATGACACACATTTACTCTACGTCTTAGTCCAATTAGCAAATGTCTCGATTTACGTAAAAGATACAAGTGATGAAGCATACATTTTTAGGATTTAAAATTCGATCAAAATATCATAAATTAAAAAAAAAGCTCGAGAGACTAAACACATTTTTCTGTCTAATCACAGACCTTTCGTTTTGCCCACACCCTATAATCCCCCTTTAACCATAACAAAAATGTAACGGTCGAGTTAATACTTGAATTTTGACCCGAGTAAGAGAGTGAAGATTAAAAGTGTTGAGCTTAATTTATTTGAGACGTAGAGTATAAGTTAGTGGAGCTCAAGTAGTGAACTAAAAGGATGAGATTTGATGACTCATGAAAAGAGGACTTATAGTGTGATTATTTCAGTTAGTTAAGAAAAATCTATTTTTTTCTAATATTTTAATTTTGTCGTGGAGTAGGAGAGAAGCAGAGCATGAGATATTGTACTTCCACCTTACCTCTTTAGCATTTTCATTCATTTGCCCTTATTTTATCAATCTTGATTTCCTTTGTTGGAGGAGCTTTGGGAATGGTAAGCAACAATTGTTCCATAGGTATATTTATTTGAATCCATCCATCCAGAAGAGAGTTCCATGTTTTGGCAAGAATCAAAATGATAGGTTAAATTTGGGTATGAACGTGCTAGAGAGAATAAAATAAGGGTTAAAGATTGAGTTATATTTTTTTGTTAGCATCATTTCTTTTGCTCTTTTGGGTCTAATCTCTTCCTATTTTAGAAAAATAAATTATAGGACCATCTTAATCAAAGGGCAAAGAGAAAGCTTGAAGGTTGAAGAAGGGAGTTTTATCTAACCATTTTTGTGGAAGGTAATGCATATTTATTCTAGGCAGATCCCAATAATTATAAATGGTAGTAATGGTAAATTGAAAAAATGTAATAATGATAAAGCTTGAGTTATGATGGGGTAGCTGCTGGGATTGATTAAGAGAATTAATTTATGGGAAGGTAGAATTTGGGTTTCAGTCAGTACTGTTAGAACAATATCGATACCAACAAGACGTCTAAAAATTTTAAATATAATTATTAGGGTAGTATCAATAATGTTTTTTACAGTATCGATTCTAAGAAAGACCATATCAATATCAAGTATGATGGTATCAATACT